CGCTATGATTGTTGGTCGTCGATTTAAAAAAAAGTAACGAAAAGTTACTTTCTCAAGTAACGGTAACTGTAACGAGTTACTTTTAAAAATCGGTAACTAGTAACGGTAACTTGTTACTTTTCCTACTCGGTAACGAGTAACTGTAACTTGTTACTTTTAAAAAGTAACTTTCCATTCCCTGGTCGTAAATCATAATTAATGATATTCCTAACCACTTTTTTTTAGGTATCCTAGCGGTTAGTGTTGCCTTCGACACAAATTTCAATTTTTTTTTTACATTTCATCTGCATACGCGATAGGTGCACAAACTCGCGATGGGATTTTGTACGGAAAAACTGGTTACGTTTTCCACGACCAAAAGTCGCCCATCAATACATTTTTTGGATATAAGAACAATAGTACGATTGTGATAACCATAAGATTAGCATATCTTAACGATTATGGCTGTAAAGATATGTCTATCTTACGGTTATCATAACCATTTACATTGGTGGGCGAAAATTATCATTTTCCGGTTGTAGCAACCGTAACATTTTTTCTGTGTGGACTATATGTTTCAGCAACAGAGGATCGTACGCGATAAAAAAAAAGGCTAAGGAAATGGAGCCGCAAGCCGCAGATGATTAAGTTTTTGGTTCGATTAAGTAGTTTACATTCTTCTTATTAATTAACGAGTTTATGTTTCTTTATGTTAAATCGTAAAATACAGTCCTTTTTATTTATGACTTTCAATGTGACTCTCATGTGATAGTTGCGAGATTTCACGTCTAATATATTCAAGATAATATAATATATATCTTCAGCAATTATAGCCAAAGAATGGCTTTTATTTGTCAAGATGGACAAAGGTCCGTCGCGATAAACAAAAGAAGATTAGAAAAATGAAGTCACAAGCTAAACTTCTTTCTCTTTTTAGACAAGTGTATATTTGTACACTTCTTTTCGTTTGTCTTTTTTTGTAAAATCTGAACTACTGTATTTTTTTAGTTGGAATTTTAATGTAATTCTAATGTGATAGTTCCGAGATGTAATAGTAGGTATATAAATATTCAAGATATATATGTATACGATTAATATGTTCATCAGTTTAATAAAATAAAAAGTTTAAAGAGAACCTACATTCGATAAAATTTAATATCCATTTATATAGGTATATATAATATACACACATACATATATATATATATACATATATATCAGCCAATTAGAATTCAGGTTGGCTGATATTCAACTAATATTAACGTATAAAATTACGTAGGAAGGACGTTCATCTTCTTGTTAATGTTGTCACTCTGCGTTATATCGTGATCTGAAAATGACATAACTGTTACGAAAATAGTGGAACATCGCTGCGTGTGTGATGTTAGTGAACAGTGTTCATTGGGTGATTTTTCTCTCAGTGAACTTTGATATAAAACGCGACATGTTCAAGCGAGCTGTAATACCATTTTAAAAAATCCTTATACGAACTTTTCCAATAATCTGATATTTATATAGTTTTCACAATGATTCTTTTAAGAATAAAGAACCTTTTTAAAGCACTTGACGCGAAACAATTTCTAAAATTGTAGTAAAATCTTCTTCTGGATTCAGATGTAAGAGACGACAGGATACATTCCACAATTTTTCCGGATATTGATGCTTGTTTGCCATTCGATATGGAGTGGCAACACCGCAATTCCTAAAAATAAAAAAGAGATAAAGAAATATAATGCGAAATGAATTTATTATATTTACATAAATAAAAAAAAAATTTTTTTTGTATAGTATATAATGTAAGAATATAAAAGAGGGCTACGAGCCTAAAAACGAATATTTTTAATTTAGATAGTTAAATCATACAAACAAAAACAGATGTTTCGTACCCGATCAGGTCATTTTCGGAGAATGTAGTGAATTTGACAAAAAATTGTATTAATTGGAGCAATCGTGCGATAAAACTGAAAGTGTTTGTTCAGTATTAAGAGACATTTAAAAAAATGTACAATTTCTTATCAAATTAACTACATTCTCCGCTCGTAATAATTAAGATTATTATACTTTGCGAAATTTATTATGATAACTGACACACTTGGAATTAAATACGATTTTTTATTAGATGCTTTCGAAGAATATCACGTGTTTTATAATCGATCTAATACTGGTTGGACCAATACTTCTTGTATACAACAGTTGCGATTAATTAGGTTTTTATCAGTGACTTAATAATTTTTTAATACTTTAGATCTCAATTTATAATTCATTATATATTTTTTACATATTTAAGTTATTGTTAAGAAAGATTTTATAATTGATTTTTTGTTATCACATTGAAAATGACCCGATCGGATACGAAACGTCTGTTTTTGTTTGTATGATTTAACTATCTAAATTAAAAGTATTCGTTTTTAGGCTCATAGCCCTCTTTTATATTCGTATTTTATTTTTATTGAGCCTTTTGATATATATTATTTAATATATAATGTATTCTTACGAATAATAGAGTCCGCTCTCATTAGCTAAATCTTCATCTACGGAACAATATATTGTTGTTTGCGCTCCTTGTTCAGCATTTTTAGAAAACAATTGAAAAAACATATTACAACAGAAAGTAAAACCCGGAAATAGTGCCTTATCACCATGCCGTGCTATTCTGGTCGGAATAATACCAGGATGTAAAGAATATGTATTTATCCCAAAAATATTTGCCTCTAAAAATCAAAATCTTTGTGTAAGAGTCTATCTTCAATATATATTTTTCCTTTATTACGCAAATTACATCATTAATGATTAATTAGTGATTGTTGAATATTAATTAAATTGCCATTAAATAAATGTAATTCAACGCAATTCGTATAAATAATGCGGTGTTTGTATCATACCTTTTAATTTACGAGCGAGTTCCTTGGTGAACAAAATGTTCGCCAATTTGGATTGTGCATAACTTTTAAACGGCTCGTAAGATCTCTCCAAATTAATATCATCGAAATCTATATCAGCTACTACAATAGAAGATTTGTGTGTAACAGAAATGAAATGACTCTTCTAATATTGGCACACAATTTAAAAAAGTGTTAGTTTTATAAAAGATATTTACACAAGACGTTTAATGTAAAAGATATCCATATAAGATGTTTAATGAAAAATTGTATAAGATATATAGCCCCAAGTTATTTGCATGAATTAGATACTTGATACAATCTTAATGTTTAAGAATTTTTTATGATACCGTATCTATAAACTCGCTCTTGATTATTCATAGTCTTAATAACGACTATTGTCAAAAAAATTTCTTAGTTTTAAACAAAAACTAGTAAATAAAAATCGATTTAGTTCAATTTTAAAGCTATCACAATATCATTTTACATACAAAAATGTGCAAGTGACGAGACATTGACTATTCTGCAGTTGGGAGATGACTTCTGCATTTTTGGTAACAGCAGAAGTGTTAAAAGAAAATGACCAAGATGGTTGACTTGTAATGTCGTTTCATTTCCGTCCTCTGTTTTTTCGTATAACGGATAAATAGCCACACCGGCATTATTTATGAGTATGTGAATAGCTGCTTCGTTCGTCAGCAAATTTTTAGCGCAATCTCTCACGCTCTTCAAACTACGTAGATCCAGAGAATAAATCGCAAGTTCACCTGCTTTATTTTTATATTCATCTTTATTGATCCTAAAATAGTCGTAGGTTTACAACCCACGTCATTTTTTCAACATATAAAAATTTAATTAAAGTAAATATAATTTAATGAAGAGAGAGAGAGAGAGAAAGGGAAAATTAAGCAAATAATAATTAACTTAATTGATTCTTAATTCTTATGTTACGAATTTATCTATTTACCTTGAAGGTGGATTATTTTTTATATCTTTAACTGCTTTATTTGCCATTTCCATATTTCTACAAGCCAGAATTACTCTAGCACCTAAATATATACGTTATTTATATGAATGTTGTTAAGAAAACATGTTTTATTAGATTATTTCAAAAAGTTTGTAGGGGGGCATTAATGATAAATTAGAACATGATTTATTAATATTTAAAACTGTATTACACGTCTTTTAATAAAATAAAAAAATTACACATAAATCTTTTTTGCTAATTGAACAGTATTTGTACTTTGGAAATAGGACTTTAAAAGCATTTTATCCTTATAGTCACTTCCAAAATCATACGAAATAAGCAATACTGAACGAATCTGCACAAACATTGCTATAACATGTAAACGTCATCTTTCAGAATATCCAAGACATAACTTGATATAGAATGCGATATATTTGCAATAACATTTTTTAAATTCTTTACAAACTTTTCAAACAGTCTAATATTTATTGATTTGTGAAAAAATTAATGGAATTCTAAATTAAGAAAAGAATAACCAAAAAGGTCTATTAATCCAGTAAAGAAACAAATGTTTCTAAAATATTGTTATATAAATATTATTGTTATATAATTATTCAACAATAATATACAATTTGAAATTACTGTCTTTTTTAATCAATAATAAATTCATCTTTTTTAATCAATAATAAATTTATATTTCATTTACGCCATAAGCAACAAATAAGCAGGAAAGAATGGCTTTATTTGAAGTGTAAAAATTTAGGTGTATACAAATACTAAAAATAATTTTGCTGGACCATCAAAATAATTATGTAGGAAACTCAAGCGTGATGAGAGCAACGCTGCAAAAAATTTTAGCATTCAAATTGACCGTCCTACACTATTATTTTAATGGCCTACCTAAGTACTTGAATTTCAAAGTTTAGAATAATTTAAAATATCATCTTGGTAAAATCACCTCTCGTGTATAAATCTCTAGCAGTTTCCCTGCCAATACCACTATTTGCCCCCGTTACCACAACAGTTTTACCCTCAAGACGTACTTTGCTCGTACACATTTTATTGAGAAACCACAACATTTTATAGTATTTCTTTATTTACGACGTTATCAGTTAATTATTTTTATTGGAAATCACTCACTACATCGAATTCACAGGAAGTGTTATAATCGATTTTGTACAGTGTTCTTCGTTGAATAGTTACACGATCGTATGTTCATGTTCTTATATACTACTTGAGACCTGTGCATATTTTATCCCACTCCCGGCTAATATAAGTTACATATAATACGATATTTTCACGTATACATGTACATATATATGATTGTATAATTACCGTGAGTACAAATCTCAACACCTTGCTACACTATTGGAAAAAAATGTGTCGAATTTAACATAAACCGCATGTCTCAAACGGTTCACTCAAATTTTTGGATTAATTTAACACAAGATAAATATGTTAGAAGGTAACACAAATATTATGTAAGAGAATAAATACAAAAAAAGCTATTATCGGTACAGTTAAACAATCTGTGGAAGCATTTTCTTTTCAGAAAATTAACATTTATGATATGTTAAATTAACCCTTACCGTACCATCTACAATTTGGTGCCTCATCCATACCATCAAGGATCACTTCAAATCTTTTTGTTTTTTCACCTCTTCAAAATAATTAAAAAATCTCTAAAAATTTTTTTTCACCAACATACTTTCAACTTTCTAGAATAAATATTGACTCTTTATTTTGGAAAATAATAAAATGTAATATATATAATTTATAATTACCGAAAGACTCAAAGAAACTTGCACGAACAGGAATCGCTCGATCACTAGTTACCCATATTAGTACGGTAAGGATTAATACCTATTTCATTCATTTGTCTTAGAATTTACGTTTTGAAACACATTATTTTTATGTTATTTGTACACTTACTCATAAATTGTGTTATTTTGATACTAATTGTAAGAAACGTTGAACATTAATTTCACACAAAATTTTTAAATAACATAATCACATCATGTTACCCAGTGAGAAATAACAATGGAATCGATATCGAATCGATGTCGATTCGACGTCGAAATCATCGAATTAACGTCGAATCGAGGTCAATTTGACATCGATTTCATTGTCATTTCTTACTGGGTAAATTAAAACTCGAATATGTTAAAAAATTTTACACAAACTCTTAACACAGAATATTAATGGATCGTTTCTAACCATAAATACACAATTTTTTTTTATTGTGTAGCGAGCAGAGTAGGAAGCAATAAGTATAAGTATCACAAGTTGCAACAAACAGTTGCAACTCTCGCAGTGCGAATCACAGCTTACTAGTATTACGGTTTACGGTAATTAATTCGAATTCAAGAATTGTCAGGAAGTCTCGAGCAATTTGGAGTTGTTTTGCGAATACAAAATCAAATTTTTCTCGCTACATTGATTATTGCTCGCTTTCTCCTAACGTTATCAATTATAAATTGTATAATGTAGATGTTTATATAATAATGTCAATATAATATTTGTAGATATTTATATAATAATATGGAATATATATATGTATAATAATATATATACGTTTATATAATAATAACAGCTAACAGTAGTTATCAAAGTATCTATTTCATTCGTTCAAATTTCAATATAAGTAAAATATTATTTTGTAAATGTTACGGGAAAATATATGTTTATCTCTCTCTCGATCTGAGTTGAATTAATTATCCTAAATTACAATGCACAAAAAAATAAATTTTAAGAGGAATCATAGGAATGCTTTTTATAGCAAATATACTACATCAAAAGTTGCAATTTTTCATTTTACGAAAAAAGTAAACTACATGCCAGTGACGATTCGTTTGTATCGGCTATTTGCTGAAAATTTGAGAGATCGATGTAATATAGCGAGCAAAATGTAACATATCGCCACGTTTACCACAACTACCCGTTTTGCTGTAGATGCGACTACGATCTATTGAATTCGCGGACAGCGAAATTCGTGAACAAACTCTCGAGACGTCGCGTCACACTCGCTTTTCGTGAATTGCATCGATCAGCCCGAGCTCGTAAATTTTCATGATGGAGGAGATTCGATGAGTATACGCGCGCTTGGACCAACCTTCGAATATCGACAACGTTCATGTACACTTACATGGCATTGTTCTGTAAAGCTGCATGCAAACTCAAGCAAACATGAGGTTAGAGTTGACACCAATGTGTACAGGTATATTCGAGATTTCGCGAAAGACCGCAAGGCTTTCTATGTACTGCGGAGGTATTATAATATTGTAGAGATATGTATAGCTTTGCTCACAAGTAAAAAAATATATACATTACATAAAAATGTACAATAAAGAAAAAAATACTATGTATTGATTTGTTAAAAAGCATGTAAAGTTAAATTAAATTTTATTGTTGCACTTTTTCTGTTACCCCGATTAATTTTTTATGTGCTTTTTTTAATAGAATAAAGAACAAATTTTTACTTTTTTTTAAATTGAAGCCTGTTAATCCGATGCGATGTATAAATTCTATCGTGTATGTGTGTGTGTATGTGTTTTTTTGTGCGCGCGCGTGTGTGTGTACACGTATTGCATACAATTTTTTATCCCATTTATTCGCAACAAGAATAAGTACTGAATGAGCAAATCGTATCAGCTTAATAAGCTTCGTTTTCAATAAAAAATATAACGTAAAACCATTCATTCCAAAAATATATACGAAGTATCCCATAGAATTTGCAAATACGGAATTACGGTACAATTCTGTATCAGAGAATTGAACAATGTTTTATTTTTTTAATTATATAACAAATTTTACATGATATTTAAATATCATTATATGTAAATCTAATTTAATAAGAGAAAATTTTCTTTTGTTCTATAGACAAGACATTCTTGTGCAAATTAGACTATTGTTTACGTGTTATCTATTAATTTATTTTTAATCACTGATGTCAGTTAGAAAATTTCGAAATATTCAAAATATTCGAAAAGCGACATTCAGATATCATGTACATTTATTATGAAATCATTAAAAAAATTATAAAAGAGTACATATCTAGCACATACCGGATCTGATTCACGTATAATTTAGAGAGATCATTCGTTTTAAATTATTTCTATTTAAGAATATTGTTCAGATAAAATTCAAAATAAAACTTGAACTTCTATATATTTAAGAATTATCTAATTTTTCTTATCCAATTTTGTGTTTAAAAATATTTTAAATTATATCCATTCAACTTCTCATTGCTTAAGAATTAGTTGTTTCCGGCATAAATAATTGCATTGTGCGGCGCGTATTTCAGTACGCTCTGTATAATTATAAGTATATAGATTTCGTCCTATACACAATATGAAACAACAAGCCATGTCTGCATACTCATATATGTGGACACAGTCAGATCAATGTAATACGCGTAAATATGTAATCTGCATTAAACAGGCCACTATGAATACAAGAATGCCGTACATATGTGAACAATTGATCATTTGCGGGATTTAAAACAAAAATAATGTTATTCTCAACATATATATATTTGAAATAATTCTACTCAAGCATACAAAATCCTTTCTTGATTTCCAATAAATTAACGAAAAATAACATTTCATGCAAAAGTAACTGTCATATATGATAAAGTACGATTTCTATATATAAGTGTAAAAATACAAGTTAAAAATGATAAGATAATAATTTAGATATTTTCATTCGAATAATGCATCTATTAATTTTGCAGCAAAAAATTTAATCCTCTGCTAACAATATTGGACTTTAAACAGCACAATCATTTTTTTAATTGTGAATTCTAGTAGATAAATTTAAATGTGTAAAGAATAAATATAAAATACAATTCAACTTCTGTGATAATAAAAATTTGTTTTATACAACAAATACATTTACAAATATATAAGAATTCTCTCAGATTTTTGTATTTTGTACAATCCGGAATAATATACAAATCTGTATTAAAGATCCCTAAGTTGTGAACGAAGGATGAAAATTTTATATTGACAGAGGATTAATTTTGTTTAAAAATATTTTCCTTCTTCTTTTGTAAAATAATATTTTACGTAATAAGATTACTAAAAATGTTTAATATTTCAGGAATAATTTCTTTTAATATTGAATATTATTGTGATTGAATGGAATCACTTTTGTTCCAAATGAAAACACATACAATTTCCGTTCATCAATGTACCATTTAAAGGACTAATTAAATCTTTTCAATTTCAATATCATCGCTTCAGACGGTTCTATCGAATGCGGTTTTGAATAATAATTTGGATTAATCACGTGCATGTAATTGTGAATTTTTGCGAGAGATACGTTGTATTTAGCAGCAGCTTGTTTATAGTGCGCAGTGTTTCATGTGAATATGAAGAAATGTAATGTAGGCTAGTGGCGAACGCGCGATCAAGGATACTGGAACGCGAACGAACGTGCGTGCGTACTGCATACTAACGCGTGTGCGAATGACTCCATGCAAATACACGGGTTGCATTTGTGTGCACAGTCGTGCGTGTGGCACATGTGCTAACCAGATGATGCGCTGCGGGATACGAGATAATTGTCATACGAGTCTCCGGTATATTATTCCCTAATTATACGCGAGCATATCAGTATCAATAATATATTATGTTATTTAATTGTAATACGCATACAGATTTCGCCGCAAGTTATGTTAAGTACTGACAATTAAGATAAAATAAGCCGAGATATCTTGTAAAAAAAAGTGCAAAAAATGAAGATAGAATATTCATGCACTTGTAAATATCTCATTATAGGTATACATTCGATTTAAATATTTAATATCTGTAATATCTAGCTTGAAATAAACAAATATAAAAAATAATACAGGAACTTTTTTTCGATTTAACAATAACACGAGCCAAAGTTTATATTCGATTTTTCCATTTTCTTACTATCAGAAAAATTAGATATTATATTTTTAATTTTTCAATTTTTCGTGGATAAAACTAGACAAAGTAGCAGATAGTTGTAATTAGCAATTAGCAAATAGAAATCAGATTTTTCATTCTCTCATCAGAGTAAAAATACAAAATGAAATTTATATAATTAAAAT